TTAATGTGGATGAATGCTTCCACTTCTTATCTTGTACAGCAAAACCTGTCCCTCACTCTGCTCCTCCCCCAGAAAGCCTCCAGAAGAAAGCACCAGGTGGGCTCTGCAGTGTGTATTAATGGGTGCTGATCAGGTTTGATGGTTCCCTATGGGAGCCATCAGTGATCTCTAGGTCCAGATTCTTCCAGAGCTGGTAGAGCTGATGAAAACCATCTGAGTAAGTCAGACATAAGCTTAAAAATTCCTGTTGGAGCTGGTTTCCTCCCTATCCAGAGGTGTACATTGATGATCTGTGGGCTTAAGCAATAGTATCTGAGCCACAGCTCTGCGAGTAGGAGCTGGTTCATGTGGACTTCATTTTCTTTGGGTCAGAAGCTTGAAGGAGCAGAGAACCTATCCAATAAACCCACCCTGCTACTGGTGTTCAGCCTTTTGATGACAGAAGTTTCCAACCCTGCTGTTGAGGTGCAACATTGGAACAAACGGTGTCTTGGGTTAATACTTCTTCACTTCCCTCTGCTTCAGAAAACTCTTGGATGCCTTTGCACGTAAATTCCAGCAGTGGAATGACATCTGACAACTCTGCGTGCCAAGGGAGGGAGGAGGATCCGCTGCCCAGCTGGATAGGTTATTCCAGAGTTTAATTACCCCACTGCTGAGGCTGCATGCCTTTCCTGGTAGGGCTTTGTTTGCACTTGGCTTTTACCTGTTAGATCTTGAGCTACAGAAAGAAAAGAGGCTGAGACCACTGTTCCTTATCACTAACTTCTCCCTGCTGTCCATCACCTTTCCGTTGTTCTGGGTGAACTATGCAAACTGCCTTTTCCTTGCCAAAAAGCTCCTTCCCAGCTCCCGAATTAGTTGGAGTTTTTCTTCCTCTGCTGCTGCTCTGGCCAGGGCTGGAGAAACACCCGCCCCCCCAGCATTTCCTCCCCCAGCTTTAGTTCTCTAAGGATAATATTAACTTTGTTTTCTCCTTTCCTTGTCTTGTCCCGGTGGAATACCAGAAATATTTTGGGCTGAAGGTGGTGGAATCAACCGGAACGGAAAAGCCCTTTAAGCTCATCCAGACCAACCACTCCCAGCCCAGCCAAGGCCACCACTAACCCCTGGCACTGAGGCCTCGGCTCCACGGGCTGTGAACACTTGCAGGGACGGTGCCTCCAGCCCTGCCCTGGGCAGCCTGTTCCAATGCCTGAGCACCCTCTGGGCAAGGAATTGTTCCTCAGCTCCAGCTAAACCTGCCCTGGGGCAGCTTGAGGCCGCTTCCTCTTGTGCCATCCCTTGTTCCTTGGGAGCAGAGACCAGCCCCCTCCTGGCTCCATCCTCCTGTCAGGCAGTTGCAGAGAGCGATCAGGTCCCCCCTGAGCCTTCTCTTCTCCACACTAAACCCCCAGGTCCCTCAGCCCTTCCCCATCACACTTGTGCTCCAGGCCCTGCTCCAGCTCCGGTGCCCTTCTCTGGCCCCGCTCCAGCACCTCAATGTCTCTCTTGCAGTGAGGGGCCCAGAACTGACACAGGGTTTGAGATGCAGCCTCACCAGTGCCCAGCGCAGGGGGAGGACGCTGCTGCAGCACTGACTAGTGCTGCCCTGGACACATTTGTATGGGGAAATTTTTCCAGGAGATTAAACTAACCCACTGGATTGAAAACCCCAACACCTGATTAATGAAAGAAGGCTGAAGCCTCAACTTTATCTGCTTCCTTTGGTTGTAACCCCTGAATTGCTCACCCAGTTGTGTGCAGTCCTTGTTGTAAGTAGCCAGTTGTTCTTGCCTGTGTGTATTACCCTGTGCTGCTGCTGGTCCCTGCAGAGCTTCATTTTCCTCTTGAGGTCACTAATGCGTTTCTTAAGATTAGTTTGAATTCTGATTCTGTCCTCTAAGCTGCTTGAAATCACTCCTAAACTAACATGTTCTGTGAGTTCAGTGGACATAAAGCCAACAAGATGGGCTAGAACATGTGTAACAGAACGGGATTCAAACCCTCCTGCAGAACCCCAGTGAGTAAATTGGTTCTTTCATAGGCAATGTTCTTTCTTCTTAGTTTTATGGTCCCCAACACAAGAGGGTCGTGGAGCTGCTGGAGCGAGGGCCGA